GGTCTTATTTTGTTGGGTCTTGCTTCATTGGGTTTTACTTTGTTGAGTCTTGCTTTGTTGAGTCTTGCTTCATCGGATCTTATATTTTGTTAAGTCTTGTATGTTGTTGAGTTTTGTATCATTGGGTCTTACTTTTACTTTGTTAGATCTTGAATTTTGTTGGGTTTTTTCTGTTGATTAAGAAGAGTTAAGAGCATGTTTAAAGAGTAGGATAGAATTTAAAGATATAATTAAATTTTGAGTTAGATTGTGTTAAAATTTAGTAATAATATTAGGATAGGTTATGATTTGGGTTAGGTTATTGTTTATTTTGTAATTTAAATAAATAAAATTATTTTTTAGTGCAATTTTTATATGATACAGGATTAAAAATTCTTGACTTGATTAAAAATTTTTCATTATTCAAATTCTACTGATCTGTAGAATTCGATTAAAAAAATTTTTATAGAATTTGGTCAAGTGGGTGCTGAGATATCTTTGATCAAAGTTGTGTTTAAAAATTCTAGTACAGTTTCTATATAATAGGCATTTTAAAAAATTCTAAAACTTTGATCGAAGATTTCTTGGCAACTACCTGATCAAATTTAATAAAAATTTTTTATTAGAATTCTACAGATTTGTAGAATTCAAATAAAAATTTTTTCATAGCATTTGGTTAAGTGGATGCTGAGATAACTTCGATCAAAGTTGTATTAAAAGTTTGGCGCAATTTCTACAATAGATATTTTAAAAATTCTAAAACTTTGATTGACGATATCTCAGTACTTGACCAAATTCGATAAAAAATTTTTTATTCGAATTCTACAGATTTGTAGAATTCTAATAAAAAAAAATTTTTATCGAATTTGGTTGAGTAGTGCTGAGATACTTCGATTAAAGTTGTATTAAAGAGTTTGGCGCAGTTTCATATAATAGGCGTTTTAAAAAAATTTCAAAACTTTGATCAAAGATATCTCGGTACTTACTTGACCAAATTTGATGAAAATTTTTTATTCGAGTTCTGCAGATCTATAGAATTCGAATAAAAAAAATTTCATAGAATTTGGTCGAGTGGGTGCCGAGATATCGTTGATCAAAGTTGTATTAAAGAGTTTGGTGCAGTTTCATATAATAGGCATTTTAAAAATTCTAAAACTTTGATCAAAGATATCTTGGTGCCTACTTGACTAAATTCGATGAAAATTTTTTATTTGAGTTCTGCAGATCTATAGAATTCGAATAAAAAAATTTCATAGAATTTGGTTAAGTGGGTGCCGAGATATATTCGATCAAATGTATTAAAAATTTTGGCACAATTCTCATCAGATACGTGTTTTAAAAACATAGATCATTTCTAATATAAATAGATCAACCAAAAAAATATTACACAAAAATCAAACACATGTTACATATAAAAGTTTTTAAAAATATAATCAATTTTCATAAAAGTTTTGGGGTAGATATATTAGACTCTCTAATTCTAATTATAATAATTTGAACCCCTGTATTATTTAAAGAAAACATACTTGCATATATCATTAATTCTTCCTAAGTTGATCGAAATTTGCCTAAGTTACACAAAATAAATATCATATGATCATCATCTGATTTTAATTGAATGTTATTTGGAGTGTCCAGGATTATAATCTGGGATAATTTGCCTTATAGCGCATTTTTTATGCGATTTTGCATAATTTGAACTTGTACACATAATTGCGTATAAAAAGCTATTTTTTAATTATGTAATCAAATTCGGACTATCTTGCATAGTTCAGAACCAATAAAATCGTATTAAATCCCTTCTAAATATTATCCAAAAAAAATATTTGTAAAACTGTTAAATCTAATCTTTTATAGTAATCCCTAAAAGGGAAAAACCTTTAATAAAATCACAGTTTATCATATACTGTAAACAGGATAAAAAAAATAAATTAAACTTGTTTGAGTTAAACTTGCTAATGCTATATAATCTTTGTACATACATAAGAATATTTTATATATATATTCTTATAAAGCAGGAGTATGATTTTTATGAAACTATAAACAGGATAAAAAAATAAATTAAACTTATTTGAATTAAATCTGCTAATATTAATTTCATAAAAATATTTTATATGTAAATTCTTATAAAGCAGGAGTATGATTTTTATGAAACGGAAGAATAAATTAGTAAAATTTAAAGATTTTTATGATGTAAAAATAAATTAGTAAAAATTAAAAAAATTTTTTTTACTTATAAAAATGTAGTAGTTATTATTTTGATAGTGCAAACCTTTTTTTTTTATTAAAATAATAAAATTTTTAACTTACTTATAAATGGGTGTGTCTGCTTATGAACGTGCTCAATCAAGCGAGTATAAAGAAGAATTTTATGCTGATGGTGGCAAACTTTTTTGTCGCTTTTGTAAAACTGTTGTTGAGCATAGACACAAGTCAATTATTGATAATCATCGCTGTTCAAAAAAGCATAAAACAAATATAGAAATTGAGAAAACTTTATTAACACAAAAAACTTGACAAACTACTATTGTTTCTTGTCATAAATTGCTTAATAAATGTGAGCAAGTTAATTTAGACTTTTTATATACTTTAACTGCTGCTGATATTCCTTTGGAAAAGGCAGAAAAATTAAAGTTACTTTTTTTAAACAAATACTGCAATGTTGGTTTGTATAGTATTTATTTTTTTAAAATATGTATTTTATTATTTAACATATAATGAAAAATAATAGTTATCAAATAAATTAAATTTAATAGCTGGTAGTATTGTTGGTTCTAATCAATTGCACGAAAAATATCTTCTATTAGCCTTTGCTTAAGAGCAAGAAAGTTTACAAAACAAATTTAAAGATCAGTATATTTCTGTTATAATTAATGAAACATCAATGCTTGGATGAAGTGCTGTTAATGTTCTATTTAGCTTTGGAAAAGAAACCAAGCTTGTTAAAACCAGTTATTTAAATCAAGTAGATGGTTCTATAATTGCACAACTTACTATTAGCATTTTACAATCATATAATATTTTATTTGAAAAAGTTATACTTTTTATTTCTGACAATGCTGCATATATGAAGAAAGCATATAGTATTCTTTCTCCATTATTTCCTTATTTGAAGCATAATGGGTGTCTAGTGCATATTTATAATTTGATTGGGGAAACATGGGTTAATTTTAAAAATTTTAAAGGATTAGATAGTATAGTTACTAATTTAAAAAAAATTTTTACTTATTCTTCATCGTGTAAAAGAAGATGGCTTAATCATTTAGCTTTAAATGCTACATCAAGTTCAACTTTACCATCATTTGATGATAATGATAATTCTTTTAATTTAGAAAACATTACTAATATTACTCTTTCACCTCTTCCTATAAAAACTAGGTAGAATTCATGGTTCAAGTTTATTATTTGGCTAGAACCTTATATCGATCTTTTTTCCTCTTTTATTATTAATAAAACTACTTTAGCAGGTGATAAAGCGAGTAAAGCTCTTAAAGATTTAAATAGATCATTTCAGGATAGTGCGCATATTTTTTTTATAAAAATAGTCATTAGGTTTATTACTTTCAATGCACAACCATAAGTATTTAATAACAAATCAATATATTTATTATTAACTTTAATTAATTACAGTATATATTTAATTATATAATTTATTAGAATTATTAATAATTTAGAATTTTTCAAGATTCGTAACAAACCTATTGCAGCATATGTTACAACTCGAATAGAACAAATACGATCATTCTTGCAAGGAGGTATTATTGATCCCTCAATAAGCACTCAGATGATACATGAATTTAGTATAAATATTGATTCTGAAGCTTATAAGATTATGTTTCGTGAAGCTTTTCAACTGGCCTTAAATAAGTTTGACAAACATATTAATGGACATTCTGCACTTGAACTTTTTTCTGAAGTTCAATGCTTTGATCCATGATGGCTCAATCAACAAACTACAAAAAAAAATCTTTATTTATACTTAATAATTCAAGAATTGAATAAGCCAAGTAACCAGTTAATCCAAGAGTGGGAAATCTATTGTGGCAGAGAAGAAATTTTTGAATCAGATTTTGATATTGAAAAATATTGGTTAGGAAAAATTCGTTTTTTACCTTGTTTAAGCAAGTTAGCCTTAAAGTATATTTGGCTTCCAATCTCTGGTGTTGATGTAGAATGCAGTTTTTCTGCATACAAAAATATTTTAAATGACAAACGGCATTCACTTTCTCCTGAATCTATTGAAATGCTAAATATGTTATTATAATATGAATTAGATTTAAATTATAGAATTTTTAAACTAAATCAAATCTAATTCGAATAAATAATAAAAATTTTCCTATATGCTGTTAAAGACCCGCATAATTCGCATAATTTATAATTTACCGCATGCATAATTTGGCAGTTACTGGATCATAATCCTGGACACTCTAATGTTATTGTAAAAAAATTAGTAACGTGATCACTAGTAAAAATGATCGACGTTCACCCTACCCTTAAACTTTGATCGAAGATATTCCGGCACCTACTTAACCAAATTCAATGAATTTTTTTTTATTTGAATTCTACAGATTAGTAGAATTCGAATAAAAAAACTTTCTTAGAACTTGCATAGAGAATAGTCGAGATATTTTCATTCAAAGTTTTAAAAAAAATCTTATTTTACGAATCAAATTGATGTACATAGAGTTATTTTTGATTGGTTTGCGCCACAGATTATCGAAAATTTTGGTGGCGATCTAGGGGTAGTTGCTTTTTTTTATGGCATGACTAACCTACCCGGCATATGGCATACACTTCTGCTTCTACCAACAATTTTTTTTGTAGAGTCTTTGTTTTCTTTCGAAAATGGGTAAACACAGTTACGCTCACAGTCACCTTAAACGCAGTTTTCTTCGTCAAAACAAAAAAAACATAATAACAATAGAGAAGATGTTGTTATTTCTAACGAGGAGAAGAGGTAATAATTATATTGGTAATAATAATAATAATAATAATAATAATAATAATAATAATAATATTGTCTAATAGCCTTCGGAATAAGCATCGAATATTGCACCAGCAGTTATGTGCATTACAAGATCGGGTAAATGATGCAAAGAAGCAGGGACAAGATACGGCTCAATTAAAAGCAGATAGGAACAGAGTAGGGATTCGGATTCAAAAGTTGCGGACGTATTGTAGTGCAAAAGGATATGATTATCGGGGAGATGAAGCATAATTATGTATATTTGTTGTAGGGTTGTAAATAAATAAATAAAAATTAATTCGTGATTCGTCGATAAATGAATTAATTTTGGGGATAGGATTTATATATAAGCTTTAGAATCTAGCTGTTTTTACTTATATGCCTAAAAAACGTAAAGACTATAATACACAACTTCTAGCGTTAGGAGTTTTAATACCTGAATTATATTATGGACATGAATGGTGGTTCCAATGACTGGTACAGATTTAGTAGATACTGGTTTTTTCCACTTCGAGTTGGCAAAAAATTGCAGTTGAACTAAATGGAAGACAATTTATTACTCGAATTATTCAAGGAAACAATATTCCTAATTATTGTTGTGAATCACAAGAAGTTTCAGGATCTGTAATTCAGCTACTAATGTATTATCTAAATTTTATCAAAGTATATTTCACGTTAATTTTAAATTTTCTGATACTATTTTTATCCAGCTATATACATAATCTGTTTCATGATTATTTAGAATACTTTCTTTTGACATTTCCTCTTGATATTTTGTAGTTCAATAAGAAATTTCTATAATAGAAATTAAATAATTTAATCAAAATATTTTAATCGCATTCTCGCTCAGAGGTATGGTTTCAAAATATGGCCCGAATTTTAGCCATCATTCAAAACGAAGTACATACCTAAAGAATTGCAATATTCACTAACTGCCAGCGTTCCGAATAAGAGATCGGAATTTTTTACAACTGAATATTTCGTAAATTCTGTCCGAATAATGTTTGTAAGGTATACAGCTAAGAAATATTCTAAAAAAAAAAAAAAATAAGATCAATATTATATTATTTATACAAAAAGAAAAAACCTACTATAACCATGGATCCCTATATACTTACCGTATTAGTTGTACAATTTCTATTTTGATTAAAATGAAAGTTCAAATCATCTCCGTTGTGCAAAATCTTCTAATTGGTGGCTTAGAGTGAATTCAGTGTGACCAAACGACTATTTCATCTTGGTATAAGACGGTGTCATTTTTGCTTAAACGCACCACCAAAATCATGTACTGTACATAAATTTCAATCCAAGCATAATAATAACAAAATCACGATATTTTCGAATTTATTATTATTATTATTATTATTATTATTATTATTATTAAAATATTTATTAGAATTTACTTAATTACCACTGCAAATTCTAAGTCGAATTACTTTCAATTCAAATATTTAAATGCATTTATTTGCAAATTTTTTTTAAACTTTAAATGCTACCAGTAAAATGTGTTTACGGCCGCTCCAAGTTTTTGGAAGCTTTTTTGCTCGTTCAAAATCTTTAATGTCATCCACCATTTTTTGGATAGGTTTAAAGTTCGATTCGGATTCACTATTTTCAGTACTCTATTCCTCATTATATATGTGGATTCACAAGGTCAATCATTAAATTATCTTGTGCATGACTAATTAAAGTTGGTCGAATATTTTCCCATAAAGTTTCCTTAGTTCCGAAATAAAAGGATACTGAGAATTTCGTTACACCTAAATTAAAATAAGAAAAAAAAAAATAATATACCTTTCGAAAAAATATGTTTTTTTTCATCCTTCTTTCAAGTTCACAGCGACAGTTACACCAATAGGTAAATGAAGTAGTCTTGATTTGTTTATTATCGTATTTTTTATGGTAAAACCATCTCCTTTTTCACAGATCTTTACGATCTCAAGTGTTAATGAACTTGCAAAAGCTTCTTCGGTGTCATTTACTTCTAATTCATTAATTATCTACAGCTATCTCAAGATTCATATGCATATTGATTTCTTCTTCATCCATAAGCTTTCATAAACTATAAACTATATGTTTAACCTCTTCGGATTTTACAGCATTTTCTTTTTGCTTGCAAATATCACTTAAAATTTGATCTTCATGTCTTTCATTTATACAGTTTGAACACTCAAAACATGTTTTTTTTTGATTACTTTGAAATGCAATAATGGGAATTTTCCATTCTACGATATTCAAAAAAAAAAAAAATTTCAACGTAAATAGTTATTATAATAATAATAATTATTATTATTAATCAAATGTCGTCATTATTGTATCAATTATTAAATTTAATGTCGGAAAATAATTTAAACCCCGATTATGTACATGATTTTGGTGGCGATACTAGGTGGCTTACGCCATCGGGCTTTCAATTATATTTTGTACCGGACAAAATCTATTTAATTTTTTAGGAATATGTCCGGTACAAAATATAATTGAAAGCCCGATGACAGGTTTTCCTTTGGCGGCACTCATATGCTCTATCGCTATGGGCTTCATTCAAAAATATTATTTAATATCAAATTAAAATAAATCTGTCATAAAAAGAACGAAAGGAAAGAATACTTACAATGCAATACCTGATATAGTTTTCCCGAAAAAAGTTGAAAATAAATCCAATATGCGATAAACCGTCTGCGTTGACCAGGTTTTTTTCACTACCATCAACTTGTAAGCCACCATAATAATAGTATAGAAGAAAGTGACGACAAACCTCTCTAACCCATAATAATAATTGACTTTCTATCTTAGACAATGCACTTTCAATATCACCGCCGAGTAGATCTTGGAGATATTCTATTATATTTGTTGAAAGTTCCAATTCAACTATTGTATTGCTATCTATTTCATTAAATAAATCTTCTGCTTCTTCCTTGCAAAGTTCTCTGAACAGTTTACAAAGCGGATAAATGTGTAGACTTAATAATTCACGAAAGATCTTTTTTTTAATACTAATTTTTTCTTTATCAGTCTCAACTTGTATAATGTATATGTTTGAATTACTGTAAAATCCCGAAAATAAACACCAAACCCTCTGCCCTATTTTTAAATCTCAGATTAACGGGAATAACTTGAGTAAAGACTTCATTGCTATTTCCGCCAATCTGAGGTCTAAAAAGTAGGGTAGAGGGTGTGGTGCTTATTTTCGGGATTTTACAGTAATTGAATTGGATTGACTATGCTATGAATTTCTAAATATTTGCCTTTCCATTTTTTTTAAGGTCATGCCAATATGTTAATAATAAACAGAAATCAATTTGTTATTTTTTAGTTGCTAAAAAAAAAAATAGAAAAAAATAAAGAATAGATAACTAACTTTAATAGGTAATAGTTTTTTATTATTGTTACGTTCTTTAAGTGCATTTCCCTAGATCGTAAAGCAAAAAAGATTTTTTTGCTAATCTCGCGAATTATCATCAAGAATGACAACTGTTAATTTTATAACCACCATTTCTTTCATAATATGGCTATTTTCCGTTTTGTCAAGATGGTGCCTCTTTCCATTATTTTGCAACGACACGTTATTTTTCCTTTTCGAAACTTTTATTATTTACGTTTAGAGAAAATCAACAGAATACAGTTATACAAATTAATATAAAAAGTAAATTATAATTACATGAGGATATTTGATCTCGGGTTTCTGTATAAATAGTATTGCTTAAATTATCATGGAGCTCTGAAACCCGAGACACCACTCTTGTAGAAGTTAAATTTATCGCCTTTGTCAGTAACCGATCTCGAAATGGTTGAGAATAATATTCTCAAAAAAATTTTTTTTGCGAATGCCCGAATACCCGATTAACTTAGAACATTCGATTTCCAGCTATATATATTTTTTTATTTAATGATAAATTAGGCGAATAATTGTTTATTACTATTTCATAGTTAGAAATCGATCTTCTATCAATGTTATAAACTAATCAGGTATTCACAAAAAAAATTTGGTATTTTTTTTTTTGAGAATATTATTATTCTCAACTATTTCGAAAACAGCGATAACTTCTTCCTGTATAAATAATAAAATAAAAATATAAAGAAATGCCCGATACTGTTTAGACGCATCCAAACGCGTATCAATAAAGTGCAACCCGCAAGACGCATCCGTTGGGCTTTCAGACGCATCTTAGCATTTCTGGCAAATTATTAATAAAGAAAAAATCACGAAGGGCTATTATCTCACAGGTGCAATTCAACTCCTACAGGGAGACCCCCAAAATTCCGGGTCGGATGCTTCGGAACTCTTGCCGAAAGGGCCGGAGTTGATCAATTTTTCACTAAGAATTTTACTAATGAAACAGTCGTTCATTAAGCCCAGCTGATAATTTTACTATAGCTTATGTCAAGAAAATCCCGGGCTAAGGATCTACAAAAATTAGGCTCGGAGCCAATAAAAATTGCAGGATCTTGCAG